AAATCCTTTCTCCATTGCTTGTTTTTGCCAGGTTTGTCAAAGATCAGATGGCTGTAGGTGTGCGGCATTATTTCTGAGGCCTCTGATCTGTTCCATCGATCTATATATCTGTTTTGGTCCCAGTACCATGCTGTTTTGCTTATTGTAACCAAGTAGTATAGTTTGAAGTCAGGTAGCGTGATGCCTCCAGCTTTGTTTTGTTTGTTTGCTTGCTTGCCTGCTTAGAATTACCTTGGCTATGCAGGCTTTTTTTATTCCATATGAAATTTAAGGTGGTTTTTTTCAGTCTGTAAAGAAAGCCAATGGTAGCTTGATGGGGATAGCACTGAATCTACAGATTACTTTGGGCAGTATGGCCATTTTCACAAATATTGATTCTTCCTATCCATGAGCATGGAATGTTTCTCCATCTGTTTGTGTCCTCTCTTATTTCCTTGAGCAGAGGTTTGTAGTCTCCTTGAAGAGGTCCTTCACATCCTTTGTAAGTTGTATTCCTAAGTATTTTATTCTCATGAGAGAATGGGAGTTCATTCATGATTTGGCTGTTTGTCTATTATTGGTGTATAGCAATGCTTGTGATTTTTGCACATTGATTTTGTATCCTGACACTTTGCTGAAGTTGCTTATCAGCTTAAGGAGATTTTGGGCTGAGAGGATGGGGTCTTCTAAATATACAATACAATCATGTCGTCTGCAAACAGAGACAATTTGACTTTCTATTTCCCTGTCTGAATACCCTTATTTTTTTTTTCTTGCCTGATTGCTCCAGGCAGAATTTCCAATACTATGTTGAATAGGAGTGGTGAGAGAGGGCATCCTTGTCTTGTGCCAGTTTTCAAAGGCAATGCTTCCAGTTTTTGCCCATTTAGTATGATATGGCTGTGGGTTTGCCATAAATGATTCTTATTAAGATACATTCCACCAATACCTAGTTAATGAGAGAAGAATCAAATAGATGCAATAAAAAATGCTAAAGGCAATATCATCACCAATCCCATAGAAATACAAACTACCATCAGAGAATACTATAAACACCTCTATGGAAATAAAACAGAAAATCTAGAGCTCACGCCTGTAATCCCAGCACTTTGCGAGGCCAAGGTGGGCAGATCATGAGGTCAAGAGAACCAGGCCATCCTGGCCAACACAGTGAAATCCCGTCTCTACTAAAAAATACAAAAATTAGCTGGGCGTGGTAGTGCGTACCTGTAGTCCCAGCTACTCTGGAGGCTGAGGCAGGAGAATTGCTCTAACCCGGGAGGCAGAGGTTGCAGTGAGCTGAGATCCCGCCACTGTACTCCAGCCTGGTGCCTGGTGACAGAGTGAGACTTTGTCTCAAGAAAAAAAAAATCTAGACAAAACGGATAAACTGAACATTTATACCCTCCCAAGATGAAAGCAGGAAGAATTTGAATCACTGAATAGACCAGTAAGGTCTGAAATTCAATGAGGCAGCAATTAATAGCCTACCAACCAACAACAGTCCAGGACCAGACGGTTTCACAGCAAATTCTACCAGAGCTACAAACAGGAGCTGGTACCATTCCTTCTGAAACTATTCCAAACAATAGAAAAAGAGGAAATCCTCCCTAACTCATTTTATGAGTCCAGCATCATCCTGATACCAAAACCTGGCAGAGACAAAACTAAAAAAAATTTCCAGCCAATATCCCTGATGAACATCAATGCGAAAATCCTCAGTAAAATACTGGCAAACTGAATCCAACAGCACATCAAGCTTATCCATCACAATCAAGTCGGCTTCATCCCCAGGATGCAAGGCTGGTTCAACATCGGCAAATCAATAAACGTGATCCATCACATAAACAGAACGAAAGGCAAAGACACTCATCAATTTTAAAACCTTTATCAATCTGGTATGGGTGGGGACAGGTGATAGATAAAAAAATCACTGTACTTTCACTCAATTTAGCTATGAATCTAAAACTGCTCTAAAAACGAAAGTTTATCTTTTTAAAATATGAAGCCAGCTCACGAGACAGGCAGCAACCAGGTCCCAGGGACATCATGCTTCTGGATCTAGTCATATCTGAGAACATTTCCTGTGCCTTCTAACTATCTGAGCCAAAAAAAATCCACTTTGCCTAAAAATATGAATATACTTCATGTTCTCACTCATAAGTGGGTGTTGAACAATGAGAACACATGGACACAGGGAGGGAAACATCACACACTGGGGTCTGTTAGGGGGTGAGGAGGGGTAGCAGGGGGTGGGAAGATTGGGGAGGGATAACATTAGGAGAAATACCTAATGTAGGTGATGGGGGGATGGATGCAGCAAACCACCATGGCATGTGTATACCTATGTTACAATCTTGCAAGATCTGTACATGTACCCTAGAACTTAAAGTAAGATTTTTTAAAAAGTATATTTAAATTTATGTATTTTATTATATGCAAATTATGCGTTTTAATTGTACAGTTGGGTGTGTTTTGACAAATATAACCAGGCATGTAACTACTACCAAAATTAAGATATAAAACATTTCTACCATACCTCAATTTATTTTCCTATCTTTTATTTTACATACCGTATAAACGTTACCTTATGATACTATAATTTTTATTTTAATCAATCACTTTTCCTCTGAGGAAATTAGAAAAGGAAACCATAATTCTTGTTTTAACCAGAATTTAACATTTTTAATTCTCTGTATTCAATTGTGGAAAATCTTATTTTCCTTCTGGCAAATTTTCCTTTTAGCCCAAAAAAAGTTCTTTGTATTTCCTGTTGTACAGATAGGTTTGCAACAAATCTCTCAGCTTTTCTTTATCTTAAAATGTCTATATTTTATCTAAATTTTAAAGGATATTTTTATTGGGCACAAAATTCTGAATTAATTTTTTTTCCACACTTTAAAAATTTATTGTATCTATCCTCCAGTATTTCCTATGAGAAATCAGCCTGCATTTGAATTATTGTTTTCAAGATTTCTCATTTAAATTTTCAACAATTTGAACACAGCGTGTCCAGGAGTGGTTCTCTTTATGTGTATGATTAGCCCTCTTCTTAGGTGTTTAAGTTTACACTTTACATCCATTTGGGGAAATTTAGGGCCATGATTTGTTTAAATATTGTTATGCTCCATTTGCATTGTTCTCCTCTTTGAGACTTTAATTTTATTTATGTTGAATAGGCAATTTCCTTTCATCTTTTTATCTTTCTTCTTTAGACTAGATGTCTTCATTGATCTCTTGTCTAATTTACTGACACTTCTTTCATCTCTAATTCGTTGTGAAGTGCATTCAATAAAATTTTTGACTGGGTGCAGTGGCTCACACCTGTAATCCCAGCACTTTGGGAGGTCGACACGGGGGGATCACTTGTGGTCAGAAGTCTGAGATCAGCCTGGCCAAACACCATCTCTACTAAAAATACAAAACTTAGTCAGTCTTGGTCACATACACCTATAGTACTAGCTACTCAAGAGGGTGAGGCACCAGAATTGCTTGAACCTGGGAGGCAGAAGTTGCAGTGAGCCGAGATCATGCCGCTGCACTCCAGCCTGGGTGACAGAGCAAGGCTCCATCTCAACAACAACAAAAAAGAAATTTTAGTTATTCTATTTTTCAGTTCTTGAACTTCAGTTTGCTTTGGTATGTATTTTCATTTCTCTGCTGAAATTCCCCATCTGTTCACTTACTAGTATTTTCCCTTAAGTCCTTGAACATAATTGAAATATCTGCTTTAGCATTTTCTAACCTCTAAATACAACTTAGCTACTTTACGGTAGGTTTCCATTTACTGCTTGTTGTCCTTTTTTTTTTTTTTTTTTTTTTTTGCAGAAAATGATTTATTTAGTCGGAGAGAAAGAAATAGAGAAAGAGAGCACACGAGCTCCCACGCTGTTGTGGGAGGGGATTCCAGAAACGGACATCCCTACTGCTTGTTGTCTTGATTGTGGGTCACATTTTCCTGTTCCTATTCATATATAGAAATGCTTGATGATGTGCTAGGCAATGTGAGCGAAAGACTGTAAAGACTCTGGACGACTGCCTTCCTCAAAGGGATGTCATTTTTTTTTGTTCTTGAATGCAGTTCCATTTTTTACTGACGACCCAATCCTAGGCTTAATTTTATGCTGTGTTAGGGTGGATCCACGGAAAGCCCTAAATATTTCTTACGGCCCTATAACTTGACAAGACTCAAACTCCAAGCTCTGTGTTCTCTCTAGGAATGCTGTGTTAGCCTTGTTCCTGGTTTTATAAGGTGGATATGAATGTTAATGTGTTAACAAAGTGTGAAAGAGGTCTTTCCACCCAGGAATGGCCAGACTTGCAATGTCTCCCATCACCGCTTGACTTCTAGAATCTCTGGCCTCCTCATGGTCCTGTAGAATTCTATCTCCTTTGTAAGTTTGTAAGTCTCAGGTAGTGTTGTTATATATATGTAATGCAGCCTCAGCTAAGGACTCCTAGTAAACTCCCTCACAAACTGAGCTACTCCTTATTGTAGCTCTCTCTTCTCTGGTATTCTTTCCTATAGATTCTAGTTGCTTCAAAAGCTGTGAACGAGGGTCTCTGCTATTTCCAGTTATCAAGATTGCCATGCTCTTATTGGCATCCATCTCCACAAAGCTCAGTTTGGAACTTTCCACAGACCCGAAGCCATGGTGATAGCAGAGCTCACCTTATACATTTTCCTTCTGTCAATTGCCTTCTGTTACTTGAGCTGTTTTCTATTGCCTAAAAGTGTCTGATCTTATAGCTTAGATTTAGAGTTATTTATACAGAGAAGGCTAGTCTGGTACCAGGTATAATGGCCAGAAGCAGAAGTCCTTCCATTATAGTTGACTTTTTTTCTCTAAAATTAATCCATACAGTATGATATCAATATTTCTTATTTTTTATTAAAATTTTAATTTGTGAAATAACCAGCACTTATTCATTTTTAAATATCTCGAGAATATTAATCACTCATAAGGTTGAGAAATCACCAAACTATACTAAAGTAGAGCTTCATCACATTTTATACTTACCTTTAATTTCAGTAACATAGTAACTATGTCCTATTTCCATGTTCTTCAATGTTTCTTGAAGTCCAGAAACCTAAAACATAAAATTGAAAGAAATGAAGTTATATATTAAATGACTTTTAAAAAGTTACATAAAACACAGTATTTATCCATTGTAAAATATTAAAAATACTAATATCTTTTAAATTTATACCTAAATATTTTTTTAAAATAAAACAAATTTTAACAAAAGAAAAACATAATTTTAAGTTAAAATGTAATTCCACAGCTAATCATTAATTATTTTAGGCAAGCATCTGAAACATTTATTTCACGGCATAGTTTCCTGAATTAAAAATACTCGTGCACAGTTTAATAATTACTCAATTCTCTGTTTTGAGAGAGGTTTTTCATCTATTCAAATTGTTTCACAATAACTACCATCTTCATATTTATAAAATATAAGGTAATTATTTCTTGGAAAGTAAAATATGAAGAGGTTGTTTGCATTCCCAAACTCTTAGCTCATTTTCCACCCACATATATTCTCTATTTTATTAAACATGTCTTATAATTAAGAATATTTATTAGCTTGGTATCATGATTTACCCGTATTCCTGAAAAATAGACTTAAATTTAAAATTCGACCTTACAAAGCTATTTCATCTTGCATTGAATATTATTATACCAACACCAAATACCATCTGTTCAATTACATACAGATATATGCTTTCTGTACTATTACTGAATAGCAATATTTCTTTATTAACAGAAAATAACATAATTTATTAATTATAAGCTACAGATGAGTGCTCATGAAATGCGTAGGTCAAGAAAAAGAGTAAAATATTAATATCTATTCCTAGAATCCAAAAGAACTATAAATTTCAAAAATAAACATCTTATTCAGAATAGCATAAGATTAACAGAATAATTGTTAATGTAGTACTGAGAATTCCTGTATGTCCCATACCCCTTTTTCCCCATAACATCATACAATGTAATGACATATTTTTCACAAAAAATGAACCAATATTGATACATATTATGAACGACAGGTTATATTTTTAGTTTTATTCATTTTTCCATAATGTCCTTTTTATGTTTCAAAATCGTAACCAGAATACCATGTTATAACTAGTTTTTAGGTCTCCTTTGCCTCCTCTGGATTGGGCTAGTTTCTCAGACCGATATAGCTTGGATATTTGACCCACCTCCAATGTGATCCCCAGTGTTGGAGGTGGGGCCTAGTAGGAAGATCTCTCATGGGTCATGGGGAAGATCTCTCATGATCGGCTTGGGTCCCTTCCTTCCCACTGTTCATAGGAAATCTAGTTGTTTCAAAGAGTCTGGGATCTCCCTCCTCTCTCTTGCTCCCTCTCTTGCCATGTGACACACTTGCCCCCCATTCACCCTCCACTGTGAGTAAAAGCTTCCTGAAGCCCTCACCAGAAGCAGATGTTGGTGCTATACTTTTTGTACAGTCTGCAGAACCATGAGGCAAATAAACTTCTTTTCCTTATAAATTATGCAGTCTCAGGTAATCCTTTATAGCAACACAAAATTGACTAATACACAGATTTTCCCTGATTTTAATGTACTTGACAATTTTGAGGAATGTTAATCTGACACTATTTTACAGAATAGCCCTAGATTTGAGGTTATCTGATATTTTTCCCATGGTTAGACTAAAGTCAGAATTTGCAAGAAGAAGACCATCGGGGAGAAATGCCATTACTAGCATATTACATCAGAGGTACATGCTACCAACATGACTTAAAACTGATGATATTAACCTTGATCCTTTGATCACATGATGAGAAGGTTGCCAGGTTTCCTTACTGTAAAGTTACTTTCTTCCCTATTTCCATTGAATTTCTGGATGCAAGTCATTACTTATGAAGTGCAACCAACATTTAACAACTGAGTTGTTAAGCTCCACCTACTGGAGGGAAGGATTATCAACATATATTACTTGGGATTCTTCTGTATGAGAGATTTGTCTACTGTCTCATATGTCTTTATTCATCATTTATTTATACCATGAAGGAATCAAAGACATTTACTTTATATTTGGGGTTATAATTCAACAACACTATGTTATTTTGTTGCTCAAATTGTTTCAGAAGTTTTGATCACTGGAAGCTTTTTCAGGTTGGATTCCTATAATGAGGAACCTGACTCTATTGTTTGATGTTTGAATGTTTGAGTGTCAACAGCCTTTAACATTTATCTCCTCCCTCTTCCCCTTGTGCCCAATATCTGGACAACTGGATAAAAATTCCTGGGTACTCCCCCTTGTCTGGTACTGAGGAGAGACTTAAATAGTTCAAGCCTCACCCCACATATGAGAATTCTTACCCTGGCTCTAACCCCCAACCACAATAAAAACTCCAAGCCAGTCTCCCTTCCTTGCTCTCTCAAGTCATTTCAGAAATGCTTGGGAGGTAATGTGCAGTTCTCCTCAGAAAACTCTATTACACAAGTAGTGAACTTATTCACAGCCTGTGTGTGTGTGTGTGTGTGTGTGTGTGTGTGTGTGTGTGTGTGTGGTGTTACCAATCTGAACATCCAAATCAAATCTCATTGGGGATCCACTGACCTCTGCAGGTACCCACTACAGTTCCTTTGTCATAACTTGACATAACCATATATATATACATATATATATTTGAGATGGAGTCTTGCTCTGTCACCCAGGCTGGAAGTTGCAGTTGGCTCACTGCAACCTCTGCCTCCCGGGCTCAAGCGATTCTCCTGCCTCAGCCTCCTGAGTAGCTCGGACTACAGGCATGCATCACCACATCCAGCTAATTTTCGTATTTTCAGTAGAAACAGGGTTTCACCGTGTTATCCAGGCTCGTCTCAGACTCCTGACCTGGTGATTTGCCCACTTCGGCCTCCCAAAGTGCTGGGATTACAGGCATGAGCCAACACACCTGGCCAATACCCCATAATTTTGTGGAGTCTTTTTTTCTCTTCTGTGCTACTTTTTGAGCACTTCCTTACAAGAAAATGTTCCAAGTGCTCCAGGCTCATCTAGTATTTTCTCTGCGCAGCCCTGGAGTCAGACATTTCTCCAAAGAACCCTGGTTTTCTTTCCTTTTACTAAACAGTGATATTAGAAACCAATATCTTAACACTGGATATGCTAATTACTTGTGAAGTGACATTACTCCTAGATCCTCCAAGCAGACAGACTTAATATATATATATATATATAGATTTAGATTTAGATTTAGATTTTGTTTTTAGTATATATACACACACAAGTTTTTAGTATATACACACACACACACACACACACACACACACATAAATATTGAGTTAGATTCCCATGATCCAAAAAAGACAACGTATTATACATATGTACTTACAAATCAATTCTATTTCACCTTTTTTGGGTCATGGAGCTCTAATAAAATTTTGAACAATATTTTCAATAGTTTTGAAAATTATAAACAAAATTATAGGTTTTTCATTGTATTTTAAATAAATGTTGATTGACTGTCTATTATCTACAAAAGAAATTTGAAAACATACATTTCCTGTTGGGTTTCTGTCATTTCATAGTGTGTTTTCACTCTTTCATATACAAACTAGATAATATTCAAAATTTTTTAAGTATTATACAATCCTTCTTTATGCAAGGTATAGGTTTAAAGAGAAACACAGTAAGCTAAATGCTTATTAAGATAAGGTTTTTAAAGAAGTGACAATCAGGAATCCAGAGAGAAAACATAAGATGCTTCTTATTGCTCTTAACTGCCATCCTAAAGTTTTGGTTGGAAATGAATTCTCAGAGCTTAACTGTATCAAACATTGAAATAAAGAAATATTCAAAAGATAAACACAAAAGGTAAAATATCTTCTATTTTAGATTATAAACTTTTCATATATTTTAATATATTTTCTCTATACACATATTTTGCATAAATTCATTCTATAGCTTCATGACACACTACTAATAGGTTCATTTTAAAAGGCTAATCTGTGCCTGTACACCGAGGGTATACCTGATTAGTATGCTACAACAGAAAGAAAGGGTTGGTTGGCCATAAATTATTCTTTGTATGAAGGGTAACCAAACAGTTTCAGTTCATTAAGTGGTAATCTTGGCTTGCTCTGCAAGGACACACCCAGAGAGCTGATAGGACTAGGACTATATTCTGTGCCCTAATTTGGAAAATAGGTTGATTGAGCCTTGGTTTAGACTGGTATAAAGGGTGTTCGACAGTCACTTTGTCCACTTAGCAATTTTGATTCAGAGAATTATGAGTCTTCCACCTTTTGCAATAGATACCAGATATTTACACAGCCTTTCCTATAACCAGGACTTTCATTGGCTCCATCACTCCTATGTACCCATTTTGGATTCTGAACAAAATCTGGTGATATAAGGAACAATGTAGAGTATGGAATTTATCCTGAGAATGGTGGCTGCTACATCCGGTTTCCATCGACAAGCATAACACAATTCTGGAAGAGTATCAAGTATTCAGTATCAGCATTGCCCATGGTAAAACTTGTGGTGACAGCCCAGTGGTGGCAATAGCAACTCCTATTTAAATTTGACTTTCTCAAATTGTAGTGAATCTGCCATCTTGATCAGCAAATTTGGTTGAGAGAGAAAAGCTATTTATAAATCCTAAATGCTTCATTTTATTTTCTTTTTTTCAATGTTCAGTTAAGAGTGGGACTAAGTGTTCCATATTAAATATCAAGAAATTAGCTCTTTAGACTTTTCCCATTAATAAAGATTTTTCAAATTGGGATATTTTTAGGGTAAAAGTGAAATTTATTAAAAATTACCCTGTGCAAATAGGTGTAAATCTGGAGTGCTGGAACAAATGAGGACACAGAGTGTCCCGTAACATAAAAGAAGGAGATATTCCATCCAATAGAACAAAGAAGTGAAAAGAGTTCTGTGCTTGAGGGCTGAGATGCCCAAGGGACGAGATATAATAGATACATTGTCAGATGTGAGTCCTAGTTTACCCACCAAGTGAAAAATGCAAGTGGGGTCAGTTGGAAATGAAGGGCAAATAAAGCCAGATAGTCTAGGGATACCCCAGGAATATAAATACACTTGCTCTTAATTTTCCAGGGAATAGCCTAGGAAAATTGACAACCCCTAAAAGAGTCATATTTTACATTCTGCTAGAAAAACATCCTACTCTCCATGTGGTGTTGAAAATTGGCTGAAAAAGGTATATCTGTGTAGATGGACCCTAACTGGTTTCCAAATTGCTCATGGCTTGTATTTGCAGTACAGAGAAATCAGAAGCCTCAACTACCTCAGTGGGGTACATAGAAATGTTAATATTTGATGTACCAAAGCAGAAAAAAAAAAAAAACTAGGGTTAGGATAATGAGGCCGCAGATATAAAGGAGCTCACAGGTATTGTGGCAGTGGCCATGGATTTAGCAAGGTGTGGTTCCTACCCAGGAATCATCCAGGAGCTACCCAGAACTATCCAGGAACCATGTACCTGTACACCACCAACCTAATCAAACCAGCACAGTACACTGGAGAGTGAAATAGCCTGAAGACTTCAAGCTATATGGATAGATAAGCAACTTTTTTTACCAGGAACCATCAGGGGAAGAATAAAAAGAGAATGCCATTTGAAGGAAGAAAATTAGTACTAATAACTATGTTTTAGCTAAACATTCAGTTAATATAATATTCAAATACCCAGTGTTAAACCCAAAGAGACTGGTATAACTCATAAAGTTTGGGACAGTCTTTAGTATGCAGGTTGTCTTTTGTCTTCAGCAGAAGTAGGGGTTCAAAGACAAAATAAAATCAGTTGCAGATATAATAAAGATACAGTTCTTTGCACATCTGAACAGTAGTGTGCAAAATTCAACTCTAACTCATAGATCAAATGATTTTAACTTTTTAAACATGTTTTAATCTTACACATTTATCAATCTTAAGACAAATAATTTATCCCTATATAATGAGTGAGAAAACAGACATATTTAAATAACTTGAATCCTCACTTGGCTGTTTACAGCACAACTGGAATTCACACCAGCCATTCCCAATCCTTAGCTCTTTCCACTAAACCATCCAGGAGCACCTTGAAACACAAATATTGTACATGGTATATGAGAGATGAGCATGAGACCAGGAGGACTAAAGAGAGTAAGATGGGTGCAAAAGTTTAAGCTTGGCCTGTCTGGAATAAGAAATAGGAAAAGAGATCTCAATCTAGCTCCTAACATCTCAGGATATAGAATAAAGCCTTTTGTTGGGAGACTGGGGAAGACAGATTAGACGAAAAGCAAGGGTATGAAATTCTGGAGGTTTGATTATAATGCCATAAAAATTTAAATTACTGTTAAACTCATTCGTATTAATCCATTCTCACACTGCTATGAATAAATACACAAGACTGGGTATTTTATAAAGAAAAGATGTTTAATTGGCTCACAGTTCCACAGGGCTGGAAAGCCCTCAGGAAACATACAATCATGGCAGAAGTCACGTCTTCACAGGGCAGCAGGAGAGAGAATGAGTGCAAGCAGGAAAAATGTCAGACATTTATAAAACCATCAGATCTCATGAGACTCACTCATTATCACGAGAACAGCATGGGGGAAACTAACCCCATGATTCAGTTACCTCCACCTGGTTCCACCCTTGAAGGGGATTATTACAATTCAAGATGAGATTTGGATGGGAACACAGCCAAACCATATCATCATTGTATTCAATATTACTTATAATTCAAACATTCAAAACACAAATTTAAATTCAAGCACATAGGGCATTGAGACAATGATGTTGTGCATTTTCATAGCTAATGACAAAATTAAACACACAAAAGACAAAATTAACTTGATTAACGCATGTCTTAACAATAAAATTATAAAAAAAAGAGTATTATCATCATGTAAGCTTTTGTAGCTTCTGAAAGTTTGGCCAAAATGAAAATCTCCAGAAAACAATAATAGAATGTTAAGCGTAGTTGTGGTTTTACATTTTCTAATAAACTGATAAATGGTTTTAATGTGGTATATAAACATTTTGTTTCTTTTTCTTAAATTTTATGCCAAAGGTATCTTACCTACTACCCTAGGCCTAGGCCTATTGATAAACCCTAAAAGGATGTCACCCATTAGCAAAAATAACCAAAAACTTGAGTCAGTACCTAAGCATGTCGAATAATCATTTGGGAGAAAATTGAAGGGAGTTTTTATTTATTAAAATATCTCATATAAGTTTCATAACAATCTTAAAAGGTAGGTCTTTGGTATTTGCAGCTACCTTTTATATGAGAGAAATCTGAGCTCCAATTTGTTTAAATAACTTTCCTAAGGTTAATTTTTATAGCTGTCAAAGCTAGCATTTAAACCCAAGTTTGACCATAATGGCTAAGTTTTTTCTTCTAACTGCAATTTAATAATCTTCTATAAATTTATGCCTAAACTAAATAATATTTAATTTTTTGAGACAGTGTCTCACTCCGTTGCCCAGGCTAGAATGTATGGAGTGGTATGGGGCCATCTCAGCTCACTGCAACCTCCACCTCCCACAAATATAGGTTCAAACTATTCTTGTGCCTCAGCCTCCTGAGTAGCTGGGATTACACGCGTGTGCCACCACACCTGGCTAATTTTTTTGTATTTTTAGTACAGACAGGGTTTCGGCATATTGGCCAGGCTAATCTCAAACTCCTGACCTCATGTGATCCACCTCCCTTGGTATCCCAAAGTGCTGGGATTACAGGCATGAACCACCACCCCTGGCCTAATTTTACAATAATATTTATAGGTAGTGAAATGGAGAAATACTTTTTCTGAATGCTTCTAAATGGATCTCTTTCACATGAAAATTGGTTTAATATGTTTTAAAATTAATCACAGAAACAAAACCAGTATTTCTGCTTGTATTACTAAAAAAATGATTAAAAGATCATTTTAAGGCATCTTTGACTGTATCTTTACCTGCCCAACTGCTCTGTCTCTTTCCAAGGAGGTCAGCATTTTCTCCTTTAGTAAAGTATGGTGCTTCTCATGTAATACCCTTATAGTTGGTTCATAAGATGCATAATGTAACTTCAACCTATAAAAAATAAAAAGTCAATAGCATCTTAAGGGGTAATTGAATTAAATTAGTGATTTCCATCTAACATTGAAACCATTTTTTTTTTTTTTTTTTTGCTGTGAAATAAAAATGAATAGTCATGTAAAGGTTAACACACTACAGCCAAGAAGCAGAAAAAAGCATGCAACTTCACTGCAACTTGAGGGTGGAGGGTGCAGAGAGAGAGCAAATCACATGTCTTAACGAGTCCTCTATTTCCTTGCTGTGTCCAAGTATGTACTCAGAAGACTGATGCTACCAATGGAATTTTTTAACATGCAATTTGTTTTGTCAATTTGGAAATAACTGTCAGAAAGACAAGGGCCACAAATAATGGATGATTAAACATGGAGTGTCGTTCACATCAAAATAAACTAAAGGATAGTCTTCAAAACAAGTTTGACTATCTTGTATTTTAAAAATTAAGAACAAAATATATTTATATCTAAACAGAAGAAATAATTCAACCTAGTATGTAAACAAATACCTTTAAAAATCTGTTTTATTTGAAAATGACCCCAAAACATTTTTATTAAAGTATAATTTACATGGATAAAATATATAGATCTTAAGTATTACAGTTCAGAGTTTTGAGAAATGCACATCTAAATAGCATACATTATTAAAATATGAAGCGTATCTAATATCACAGAAAATCCTAGAACTTCGTTTACTTGGTATCATATAACATGTTCTCTTTTTTAACTGGTTTATTTCACTCAGCATAATGTTTCTTTAGATTTTTCCATATCGCTTTACATAGCAATACTTTACTCCTTTTTACTATGAGTAGTATTCCCTTTTATGTATGTATATATCCCATTGTGTTTATTGTATATTTTGCTGATGAAAGCTTGAGTGGATTTTAGTTTGGGTTATCATGAATAAGGCCTCTTTAAACATTTTATATAAGTCATATAAGATTTTTTTTGGTCATATACCTTCATTTATTTTAGATAAGTACCCAGGAGTTTATGCTGGGTTGTAATTTATACTTTCAACCTCTATGACAGTCCTGGTTACTCCACATTCTTGTCAACCTCTGGTGATGATCAGTCTAATAAGAATTTATTAATTTCATTATCAAATTTGTCAGTTTTATTATATTTTCCATTAACCAACATCTGACTTTGTTGATTTTTTTGTTTGTCCATTTTTTGTTGATTTCAGCTCTTATTTTTCATTGCTTCATGTTTCTTGCTATGTAATTTGTTGTTTTTAAGCTTCTAAGATGACATTAGTTTTAAAACTTTCTTTGCTAAAATAAGCATTTAAAGCCATCAATTTCAATTTAAGCTGCATTGGCTGCATTTCAATATGCTGCATTTTTAATCATTCAGTTCAAAATATTCTCTAATTTCCTTCTTTGCCTCATGGATTATTTAAAGTATACTACTTAGTTTCAAAATATTTGGGAAACTTCCTGAGATTTTAAAAAATTGATTTCTAACTTAATTTGCTTGTGGTTAGAAAGCATTCTTTGTATGACATCAATCCTTTTGAAATGTATAGAGGCTGGTTTTACAGCTCAGTACGTAATCTATTTTGGTGACAATTCCATGTGCACTGGAAAATTCAAAGTAGAAGTCAAGAAATGTTAACTATGTTCAATTGATTGACAGTATTCTTCTACACAATCTCTGGAATCTCTATTTTGCTCAGAGCTTCCCAGGTGCTGTTTTCCTGCTAGGATTTGTGTTTTCTCATCCTATACTTCCAGAAGTTATGTGGTCAAAGACTGAAGAAAACTATTACAGATATTTCTTAAGCTACATTTCATGTACCTCCTTCCTTCTGTGTACACCATGCTGCAAGTTCCAGCTACCTCTGCAGCCCTGAACTCTGATCTCAGCCTCCTCAGCTCTGAAAACCACCATGCTCTGCTTGGGTTATATCTGGTCTCCTCTGTTAGAATAGGAATCTATAGGGGCCAGGAAATAAGTAGGGTCCTGGCTCACAGCATATTTGGTCCATGTACCCACCCAGTGATCAATTCCAGTGTTCCTGAGTAAATAATTTGGATTGATATACTTGGCAATTGGAATAAGCTAGCAGAATGGGGAAGGTTATCCCCAGCCTCTTCGTGGATGTCAAATCCATCTATGAATATTTCTTCCTACACTTTCTAATACTGAGTGTTAAAATCCTTAGTATAACTAAGGACATTTCTGTTTTTCCTTTCGATTTTATCAGGTTTTGCTTCATGTATTTTGAAGCTCTTATATGAGAGTAATGCATATTTAATATTATGCGTTCCAGGTAAACTGACTCTTTTTATTATATGAAATGCATGAAATGTCACTTTCATTTTCTCTGGTTCTCAGGATGCCCCTGAGAATGCTTTTTCTGTAGCCCTATGGGCTTACAGAGGTGGTCCCCATTTCCTAGAAAGAAGTAGTTCCTCAGCTGTGCTGCAAAATGGTGAAAAGCCCACTTCCCCACAAAGTAACAAGTAACAGATGCTACCCCCTCCCTCAATGGAGGTGGTCCCTTCCTCCTCTCCTTAGTGCCAAACTGATGGTGTGATCAGGGAGGAAAGAGACTATACATCTAAACTGCTGCAAGAAATAGTCAGCATGTACTGGCAGGAACAGGGAAAGTAACCCCCAAGACTAGATTTTGAGGTAGTTGATAAAGGGGGTTGGAATGCAAGACTAGATAAACAATAATTCCTTGACCTCAACACAATGGATTTAACATTATAGTAAGAACCCTAGCAAATAAGGTAAATTCACTTTAAAAGTGGTCCTTAGAAACTTGGAAAGATAGCCAATACCCCTAAGGCTAAGTGGAAATGCTGGAGCTACCCTGGGAGACAGTAGAGGAAGCACTCCATAACACCATAGCAATTATATACTATTATAAATAGCCTCAATTTTTCTGCAAATTACCCCTGGCTATTTAGTTGCATGGCTACATACTGGGGGAAGATATTTTAAGAAGATGCCATTCAATTTCAGAAACCTAAAGCAGAATCGTGACCCCTCTGTTAGAATGGGAATCTATAGGGGAGAGGAAATAAGTAGAGTCTTGGCTAATGTCTGGCTCACGGCATATTTGGTCCATGTAAGCACTCAGTGATGAATTCCAGTGTTCCTGAGGAAATAATCTGAATTTGTATACTTAGTAATTGGAATAAGCTAGCAGAATGGGGAAGGTTATCCTAACCTCTTCTTGGATTTCAAATACACCTGTAATGAACTATCTGATATTGTCCCAGAGGTTCTATTTATGTTTCATTAGTCTTTTTCTGAGTCCCTGCTCATTTCTTTTCAGCTTTTTTCTCTTTGCACACCAGCTTGATTATTTTCTAACTTCCTGTCTTCATGTTCATTGATCTTTCCATTGGCAATGTCCAATCTTCTAAATCCTATTAGTAAATTTTTCATTATGCATATTATTTTTTTCAGTTCTCAAATTTCAGTTTAATTCTTTATCACTCCTTACAGTCATCATTTTCTTTAAAACGCTAAGCATTTCATAATAACTGTTTTAAAGTCTCTGTCTGCTAATTCTGTAATTCTCTTTTCTTTGTGACTGTTTCTGCTTTTTCCTGATCATAGGTCATGTCTTCCTGCTTCTAGATAGATCTATATCTTTAGATAGATCTATACATATAAACTTTATTTATTGATGTTGAACATACATTTGTCTGAATTTTGTTTTCTTCCTTTAAAGAGTTATTTTCTGACAGTTAATTTCCTAGTGAATCAGCTTGAGTTTTTCAAAGCTTACCATTAAGCTTTTTGCAGAAAAACTCTAAAGTAACACTTTCGCTAGGACCAATTATGTCTGCTTGTATGGCACAGCTTATCAAGGATATGAACTAAATGTTCAGAGTATTCAGTGAGGTTCCTTCCCTTATAGCTGGTCAGAGCTTCTACATCTCCCAGCACTGTGCAACCTTTGGAATCTCTATTTTGCTCACAGTGTCCCAGCTGATGGTTTCTGGTAGGCTTCGTGTTCTCTCACCCTATACTTCCACAAGTTAGTTAGTTACGTGGCCAAAGACTGAAGAGAACCAGTAAAGGTATTTCTTAAGCTACATTTCATGTACCTCCTTCCTTCTGTGTACACCATGCTGCAAATTCAGCTACCTCTGCAGCCCTGAACTCTGAATCTCTGATTCCTCAGCTCCAAAAACCACCATGCTTTTCTTGGGCTATATCTGGTCAAACTGTGGGTTGAAAAGTACCTTCAGGAAGAAATCTGGGGTGATCACACTGCTCATTTTGTGTTTGACTTTTCTTAGGCATCATGGTCCTGCTTTGCCAATTTTCCACCATCTTAAAAAAACAACAGCCTCATATATTTTGTACAGTTTTGCAGTTCCTTACATTTGGAGAGTAAGTCCAGTACGAGTTGGAGAGCTAATTCTGTACTGTTTACAATGACATAGCCCAAAGCAGAAATTCCCTGAAATGCTGAAGCTACCCTGGCAAACAGTAGAGGATTCTCCAAAAGAATATTTTTTCCATTAAAAATTAAAAGAGTTTTTTATTTTCTACAATAAATGTTTTCACAGCAGTATTTATAAAAGACATTAATTTGGATATCATATTATATTTCATTGATGATAGCAATAGAAATTAAGCATTAAAGTACAGTTACTTTATATATACATTTAATCTTTATTAATACAACACTCAAAAAAAGTAACAAAAATAAAAATGTAGGTAGTATGTCCTCCATTCTGATTGCTTTAGTGTGTACATATATACACTTAGTGTGTGTGTATATATATACATAGTGTATATGTATACTTTGCTGTATATAGTGTATATATATATATATATAGTATATATGTGTGTGTATATATATATATGCTTTACTATATACTATAATCTTCCATAAACATTACATATTTATAAATACATAAAAGACACAGATATAGAATTGTATATACAAACAATGTACACTGCAATTTGTGGATGGTTGAAGAATTTTAAAGAAAATATTGATGGCAAAATGTCCCTATTTTTACTAATTTGGGAATTTAACTCATTCACGAGATATGGCTTGACTATCTTCTGCTAAAAGAATTAACAACACATAGAATTTCACTGGAATGTAACAAGGAAACACAGAAACTCTCTGTTTAATCCATTTTAAAGGGTGTATCTATTTTATAAGGTCCAGAAGTACTTCATAATTTATCTGTTTGCAAGTTGTAATATTAGATATAGATAATTCTGAAAATAAGTATGTTCCTAATAAGACGCTGTGTTAAATGGGAAATACTGGCCAGGCTTGGTTGCTCATGCCTGTAATTCCAACACTTTGGGAGGCCAGTATGAAAGGATCACTGGTGGCCAGGAGTTGAAAGCAAACCTGAGCAACAAAGTGAGACCCCAATATCTACAAAAAAATTAAAACATAAAAAAATTTAGCCAGGTATGGTGGCATGCACCTGTAGACTCAGCTACTCAGAAGGCTGAAGCAGCTTGAACCCAGGAGTTGAAGGCTATAGGATGCCTTGATCTTACTATTGCATTCCAGCATGAGTGACAGAATGAGACTCTGACTCTAAAAAACAAAACAAAACAACAAACATACCAAAAAAAAAAACTGTAAGATTTATTATCAAACTAGTTGAAATTTTTACAGAAAAAATTAAGATAAACATTTAATGGTTTACAATGAAAGGAAATATGGATACACTATTAATGTTTTTGGGTAAAATATGACAGAGAGAGCTCAGACCCTAATTTTGCCTGGCATCAAAAACTCTTCATCCTATAGCTGATTTATTATGCAATGGCACACCTATCAGGCAAACACAGTCAAACTGTGTTTGACTGATTAACTTGATGCCAAGCTTTTTTGTGACTCAATGCCATCACTGAAGTTTTGTTTCAGGTCTTTATAAAATGAGCTTTAGTGATTCATCCAGATTTTTATATGAAGATGTTTTTCATAATGATTAAATGAAGAAATAAAGGCTATCTGAGTATACAGCAAGTGCAGTTGCATTACAAAGTAATGTGAACTTCTTTACCATGCTACCTGAAATAATGAAACATGAAAAAACATGTAATCTAAAATGATGAATTTTATATGAAAAGTAGTCCCTTTATACATATTAGGAATTTGAACAAGTATGGTCTATTTTTGAATATAAATTGCTAGGGGCTATTGGACAGTACAGATTTAGAATATTTACATCATCACAAAAGTTCTGTTGAACAGCACTGCCCTAAATCAAGCAAAATACAATTTTATTTAAGGATTGTAAATTTCTTTTCTTTTTTTTGTGGCAGAGGAAGGTAAAGGAGAGAAAGTAAATCTCAATAATGCCTTCAAAATGTTTCTAGGACTTATCATAAATTCAAAATCATTTAGACATATGTCCCCTATCCCGGCAATACCACAACTGCACTTTGCTTTCTATGCATAATCTGATGAACATACCATGCTTTTTCATGCCTTGGTGTATTTGCAGAGGATGTACTAAACGCCAAGAGCACTGTGCTGACCCTACTTCCTCACTGTCTACTCTTATTGTACTTGAGAATTTAATTCCTGTTGAAATAAATCCTTGAGCCCTCTCACACTCCAGACTGATTGGGATGACTGTCCTTTTGGGTGGCATAGCAACAATGCAGTGTATTTCTGTATATTTCTGCTTAACTCCTCCCACTTCACACACACAACTAGTTTCTGGGACCCTTGACAGCAGGGCCGCAACTTACTCATCTTATGCTCAATAAATGTGGAATTAATAACTTTGTCTAAAACTTTCTGTCATAGTCAAGTTACTTAACATGTATTGAATAACTCTTTAATAAACATGCCAACAAATATGAAAAGCTTACCCTTTGAGGTCATTAATTAATTTGGTTTTTTCCTGAATTATTCGCTTGTGATGCATTCGATGAAAATCACGTTCTTTCTGAATTTTCAGCAGATCTTCTCTAGCTTTGCTGAAAAAAATAGTAACTTTATAAATCACTGCTAATTCCTTTTTGAAAAATTATTTAGTCTTGAGTTCAAATCCAGTATTGGGCCATTCAAAAGATAATAGGAAAACAAATATTTTGCTATCATTCACATTGAAGGTTCCCATCAAATATAATTTGTATAAGGACATATTGTGTGTCGGGGTGGAGGATAAAAGGGCAAAACCTGTAGTTTCAAAAATATGATTCATCTACATTTCATCTAAGTAAATGAAAATTAAAGGTATGCTACCAGAACATGTCCAAAGTATAATTCATCTACTTCCAAAGAGAACTAGTTTGGCTTGCAAAATATATAAATATATATAAGACAATAATTCAAAATTATTAAAAATAAAGACTTTATGGAATTTAACTCTGAACTTCCTAGAATGTGAGGTTAGAGAGACTATACTAGATTATTGAGTTCTGACAATTGGGAACAGAAAGCATATAAATTTTGGAAAACCAAGACTTTATTCTGGCAACTTGTATGAGAAATATAAACAATCAGTGGATCTGATTACTAGATAATTTGTAGCTTAATGAGAATGGTCTTCAATATCAGTGCTGTTACACAGAAAACTTTTTCAACTGGATATAGCTTCTGCAAACCTCTGGCATAAGGCAAGCAAAAGCATTCTTTCTAAGCCCAGGTTCTATGTAAAAAGCTAATGAGAATGTTTTGCTTACCTCTATAATATGTTATTTTCAATATAATAATGTGAAATATAATTTATAATGAAAAAGTAGTTTCTCAGCCACAGATAACCAACAAAGTGCTGAGACTGTCACATTTCCATTCTGAAAAATTGACTGATACCTTACATTAGGATTGAAACCGAAGAAATCTACTTTTCTATGTCACAATATTTCAAGATTTTGATTCACATAAAATAAATGTACATGAACAGACTTCTGCATGAAGCAGTGTCAGAATATTCACCAAGGAACAGTGTATGGGGTACTACCAAAGATGTTTATGAAATAAAGTAAGCATATGTTGAGCAGTCACTTCTTGATGCAAGATCAATGTACATGAGGCATATGGTGCAAGGTCTCTGATCCATTCTTCCAAGCTTTTTTATTTTCTTTTTTTTTAAGTTCTGGGGCACAGGTGCAATGTGTGAAGGTCACAGAGGTAAACGTGTGCCATGGTGGATTACTGCACCTATCAACCCATCACCTAGGTATAAAGCCCAGAATGCATCTGCTATTTTTCCTAATGTTCCCCCTCCCTCAACTATACCCCTGACAGGCTCCACTGTGTTTGGTTCCCTTTTCTGTGTCCACGTGTTTTGATTGTTCAGCTCCCACTTATAAGTGAGAACATGCAGCATTTGGTTTTCTGTTCCTGCATTAGTTTGCTGAGGATAATAGCCTCCAACTCCACCCATGTTCTTGCAAAGGACATGATTCCATTCTTTTTAAGTCTGCACAGTATTTCATGCTGTATATGTACCACATTTTCTTTATCCAGCCTATCACTGATGGGCATCTAGGTTGATTCCACATCTTTGCAATTGTAAATAGTGCTGCAATGAGCATACATATGCATGTGTCTTTATGACAGAATGATGTATATTCCTTTGGGTATATACCTAGTAATGGGATTGAGTCTATGTGTCTCTTTGCATGTGTGATGGGTCTCTTGAATACAGCACACCAATGAATCTTGAATCTATCCAGCTTGCCATTCTGCATCTTTGAAATGGGGTATTTAGCCCATTTACATTAAAGGTTAATATTATTATGTATCAATTTGATCCTGTCATCATGATGCTAGCTGGTTATTTTGCAGACTTGTTTATGTAGTTGTCTCATATTGTCACTGGTCTGTGTACTTCCGTATGTTTTTGTAGTGGCTGGTAACAGTTTTTCCTTTCCATAATGAGTGCTTCCTTCAAGAGCTCTTGCAAGACAGGCCCAGTGGTGATGAATTTGCTTGTCTGAAAAAGATTTTATTTCTTTTTCAGAATAAAATCTTAGCATTTGCTTGTCTAAAAAATATTTTATTTCTCCTTCATTTGTGAAGCTGAGTTGACCAGATATGAAATTCTATGTTAGAAATTCTTTTCTTTAAAAATGTCAAATATTGGCCCTCACTTTCTTCTGGCTTGTAGGCTTTCTGCAGAGAGATCCTCTGTTAGTTTGATGGGCTTCCCTTTATAAGAGACCTGGCCTTTCTCCCTGGTTGCCCTGGACGTTTTTTCCTTCATTTTAACCTTGGAGAATCTGATGATTATGTGTCTTTAGGTTGATCTTCTCATAGAGTATCTTACTGGAGCTCTCTGGGTTTCCTGTATTTGAACGTTGGTCTATCTTGCTAGGCTGAGGAAGTTCTCCTAGATGACATCCTGTAGTGTGTTTTCCAACTTAGTTCCATTCTCCCTATCTCTTTCAGGTACTCCTGTCAGTCATAGGTTTGGTCTTTTAACATAATTGCACAGTTATCAAAGGTTTTGTTCATTCTTTTTCATTCTTTTTTTTTTCTCTCATCTTGTCTGCCTGTCTTATTTCAGCAAGATAGTCTTAAAGCTCCTTGGTCTCTTCAGCTACTGATGCTTGCTATTGCATTGTGTAGTTCTTATGTTGTGTTTTTCAGTTTGATCAGGTCATTTATGTTCCTCTCCAAAATAGTTATTCTTGTTAACAGCTACTGTAATGTTTTATCATGTTTCTTAGTTTCCTTGCAATGAGTTAGTACATAATTCTTTAGCTCAGTGAAGTTTATTATTACCCATCTTCTGAAGCCTACTTCTGTCAATTCATCCATCTCAGACTCTGCCCAGTTCTGTGCCCTTGCTGGAAATATGTTGTAAACATGTAAAGGAGAAAAGGCATTCTGGCTTTTTGAATTTTCAGCATTTGCGTGTTGATTCTTTCTCATCATCATGAGTTTATCTACCTTTGATCTGACATTGCTGACCTTTGGATGGGGTTTTTGTGGGGTCCTTTTCATTTATGTTGTTGTTGCTTTCTGGTTTTTCTTTTAGCAGTCAGACCCTTCTTCCATAGGGTTGTTGTGGTTTGCTGGGGGTCCACTCCAGATCCTATTTGCCTGGGCCTCTCCCACCACTGGAGGTATCACCAGAAGAGTCTACAGTCCAGCAAAAATGGCAGCCTGCTCCTTCCTCTAGCTCTGTCCCAGAGGGACATCAACCTGATGCTGGCTGGAATGCTCCTGTATGAGGTATCTGGGGACTCCTGTTGGGAAGTCTCACCCAGTCAGGAGGAGTGGGATCAAGGATCTGCTTAAATAAACAGTCTGACTGCTCCTTGGTGGAGTGGGTGTGCTGCACCCTCATTTGGGCTGCCCTGACTCTTCAGAGCCAGCAGGCAGAAAAGACAAAGACCACTGATCCATGATACTGCACCTGCCCTCCTCCTAGGGGCTCCTTTCAGGGATATCAGGGTTCTGTTCATAAACCCCTGTCTAGGGGTGCTGAAATTCCCACAGAGAGGCCTCACCCAGTGAGAAGAAATGGATCAAGGTTCTGCTAAAGGAAGCAGTCTAGCCACGAACTGACCCAGCTGCTATGCTGCACTTTGGGGAATTGCTCCCAGTCCAGACCACCCAGTCTCACTGGCACCTACAGCAGGGGACAGTGGCCAACTGGAGCCATAGTGATGGTGACCACCCCTCCCGCCCTGGGAATTCTGTCTTCTTAAGCAGTCTCCAGCCTGCTGCATTGGCCAGCAGGGATTCCAAGCCAGCAGCATTTAGCTTGTGGGATTCTATGGGAGCCAGGCCACTTGGCTCCCTGGCTTCAGCCCACTTCCCATGGAAATGGACAGATATCCTGCCTCATGGGAGTTCCCAGAGCTGGAGGTATGCAAACACTCCTGTGTCGTGGTGCCTGCTCGAAAAGCCAGCCACCCAAGCAGCTGCCATGTCTTTTCAGTTTTTGCGCTTGGGACCCAAGGCCCTGGTGGCCTGGGCTTGCAAGGGGAACTCTTGATCCACGAGCTGCAAGGATCTATGAGAAAAGCATGGTTTTCAGGGAGGGGTAGCACAATCCCTCACCACCTTCCTTGGCTGAAGGAGCAAGTTCACTTTGCCCACACAGCTCTTGGGTGGGCCCTGGATGCTTTTCTTTGCTCTCCCTGGGTGGCGCCAACCACCTAGTCAGTACCAATGAGAGAAACTTGGTACCTCAATGAAGATGCAGAATTCACTCGCTGTTTTCATCCTTCTTGGTGGGAGCCAAAGAGAGGAGCTGTTTCCATTAGGTCAACTTGGCTGCTCCCACCCCCTAGGTTTCTTTCTCCCCACCTCCCAACGCATTCTTTAAAAAACAAAAAAAATGACCTCTCCTGCCCTTTGTTTTACTGCCAATTTTGTAGTTTTCATTATATGTAAATAAACAATGTTCAAGTGACACAATACTCATGGTCAACTTTCTCCACCTAAACCTCAACCTCATTTTCATGCCAACAATCTTATATGTGCAAGAAATTATTGATTCAAACATTATCTTGAAAAATCATCTGAGGAATATATTAATGATTAGATAAACAATGTATTCTTTTCTGATTTTAACCCATGTGTGTACAGCAAGAATATAATTCGACAAATAAGACAACATAAATTCAGAAATATGATGTTGAATGAAGTGCTTTTTAGTTTTTCTAATTATTTTATTGCTTCTGGTCAAGATGTCTCTATTGTTGAAACAAAAATTAATGACTATTTTCCTTTAAATATGTACAGTGTATTTTTTAGTGTTAGTATAAGAGTTACATATATTCACTTTAACAAAAAAGAGATTGCAGTTTAGGACAGTTTTGCATCTCAACAACAATAAAACCTATATTCTAAATAGGAATATATGTTCATCTTCCAATTTTTAGATTGTTGATAGGGATATAATTTTTCTCATCAAGTTCATTATGAGATTATTTGGGAACAGTTCGTTATGTTTGTGACAACCCTTTTTGAATTATCTTATTTACATACTTTCATTTCTTTCAAAATACTACAA